GGGCCGTGAGATCATGACCTGAGCTGAAGTCGGACGCTTAACCGACCAAGCCACCCAGGTGCCCCGATACCAGCATTATTTTATCGCTTTAAAATTTTTAACGTAAACTTGCAATGTCAGAATAGTTGGAGATTTACAGAAAAGTTGCAAAGATACTATGAAGGGTCCTCATAATCCTGCCCCCACTTCATCTCATTGTTAACATCTTGCATCCCTGGTGTCTATTTGTCACAACTAAGAAAGCAATGTTATTACATTGCTGTTACCTAAATTCCACATTTTATTTGCCTTTTACCAATTTTTCTACTAATGTCCTCCTTTCTGCCCTGGATCTCATCTGGGACATCATATTGTATTTGTTTGTCATGTCTCCTTAGTCTGTGCTCTGTGACAAGTTCTCAGACTTTTCCTTATTCTCATGACCTTGACAGTTTTTTTGTTTTTTTTTTTTTAATATTTACTTTTGAGAGAGAGAAAGACAAAGTGTGAGTGAGGGAGGGGCAGAGAGAGAGGGAGACAGGATTCCAAGCAGGCTCCAGGCTCAGAGTCATCAGCACAGAGCCCGATGCAGGGCTCAAACTCACAGACTGTGAAATTGTGACCTGAGCTGAAGTCCGACGCTTAACCGACTGAGCCACCCAGGTGCCCCGATCTTGACACTTTCGAGGTGCACTAGTCAAGTATGTTGTAGAATGCCTCTCCATTTGGATTTATCTGATATTTTCTTCGTGGGTAGGCTGGGGTTATGGGCTCGGGGGAAGAATACCACAGAGGTAGTGTGCTCCAACCAGGTATCGGAGGTAGGTGTGAGCTGTATGTTTTATACATTGGGCATTCAGGTAAATTTTTATTTCGGGAGGAGAGTCCCACTGATGCATACAAATCAGAACACCCATGGGTTAGACCATTCTTTTTGTTCCATTTGGCCTCAAGTCTTGGTGGTACAGCCTTGTCACAATCAATGATGCTGAGACATTTATCTTAATCTGGCCCATTTGAAAAACAGAAAGGTCACCACTCGGGGGAGATTGAGTTGAGAAGAAGCTAATGGCCTCTCAAATAAATGCTTCCTAACTAAGAGGGGAAAATGTGGGATTAGGACAAGAAATGTGTCAATTACTTAATTACTTTCTAGGCAGCTCTGTTCTCTCTACGGGGAACCCTTTCCACTTGGTATCTGCAAAATCCTCCAGCGTGTTTTGGGGATTTATATTAAAACTCTATTGCCAGATCGAACCGTAATGGTTAAAAGTTGCCCCAGTGAGAGGAACTCCATTTCCAAGGTGCCTGGGAACTACTGAGTTCTGCCCGGAGTGGTGGAATACAACAGTGTTCACAGGAGTGTGTTGGGTCTCAGGAGATTTCTGTGGGCCAGACGCTCCTGGGGCCGGATGTTTCTACAGTGACCAGCTCTTGATATAATAATGCCAGTCACATGATCAAGAAATGAGGAGGAACACAGGGCTTTCTGGAAGGGTGTACTGTCTTTGGAAGTGCTGGCGAGGATTGCTTTGTTCTTTGAGCCTTGCAGTTCTTTTAAATGTAGCACAAAAATGCCATGTGTTAAACACTTAGAAGCATAATCTAATTCAGTGCCTCCTACCTAGGGGCGATCTCCTCCCCCAGGGAATGTGGCAATGTCTGGAGATGTTTCTGGGTGTCAGAGCTAGAGCGGGTGCTGTTGGCTTTTTCCCACCCCTGCACTAACTCCCCCCCCC